ACAAATCCTTTCTTCCAAGTGAAAAAGCCAGCTGCAAGCTGGGATACACACACAGTGCACAACTGTGTTAGGTACAGGCTAACAAAGGAGTATGAAGAATCTATTTAGAGGGCCGGGGAGATGGCTCAGTGGAGTAAGAACTTCCTTGGCAAGCTCGAGGGTCTGAGTTCAAACCCCGGTTCCACACACACAAAAAAGAATTTAGAGAACAAATTCATACAAACCAAGCAACCTAACAGAAAAAAAAAAAAAAAAAGAACAAACCATAAAACACAATACTTTTCTAGTCAAAAAAATTATGAGAAGAGTCAAGAATCTGGAAATGCAAATTACAATGACAGTTTCCATCTGATTGTCACTTTTTAAAGTCTGACAGTAACAACTGTTGGTAAGATAAGGGTGGCAGGAACTCTTTATTGCTGGTGGGACTGTACACTGGGGCAACCACCTTGGAGAACAATCTGGTAACCTATAGCATTTGCATTCCCAGGCATGTACACTGAAGAATCTCCTTCACAAGGAGATGTAAAAGGTTACATGCTTCAGAATTGTTTTGTTTTGTTTTTCATGTATTTGATATAGGGGCTCACACAGCTGGGACTCATAGTGATCCTCCTGTTTTCAGCCTCCCCAGCACTGAGATTACAGGCGTGTGCCACCATGCCCGGACTTGGGGGCCTGCTCAGCGTGCCCAGCGGTGGGGCTGGAGCAGCATGTGATATTGGGAATCTCTTGCCGGCCCTTCAGAACTGTTTATAATAGCAAAAATCACAAATGACTCAAATTCTCTTAACAAGAGTACAGATAAGTAAATCATCAAATATTCATACAGTGAAATTCGAAGTACACAAAAGTTAAAGTAAAATAACAAAACTCTAGGTATCAACAAAGATAAATCTCATTTGAGGAAAATTGAAAATACAGAAGGACATATAAACTGTATACCATTTGTATAAATTTAAAATATACTAAACAGAATTATATAATTTATGGGAATATGTATAAATTAAAAGCATAAAATTATTCCTGGCAAAGGTATATATCAATTTTGGAATAGTGATGCCTCTCAGGAGAAAGGGAAAAGGTAAGTCAGGGAGGAATGGATTCCAGGAGACATTCATCTGTTCCATTTTTCTTCAGAAATAAAACCTGAATTACATTCAGTAGAATGGTAGGTATACTGATATCTACTATAGTTTTCTGTAACTTCCAATGTGCTTATGCTTCTTTTAAAAAAATGGTCTTGCTATATAGTCCACACTGGCCTTGAACTCACAAAGAAGCCCAGGCTGTCCTTAAACTCAAGATGATTCTCCTGTCTTACTAAGTGCTGAGATTACAGGAGTGCGCCGCCATACTCAGCCCGGCCTGAATATATATATATATATTTTTTTTTTAAGTGAATAACATTGAACTTTTCTTCATAGGCCTTCATAAATAATAAAGATATTAACATTTCAATAACATTTAATCACAAAATTGTCCACATTTTCACTGTAAGATATGTTTGTTTTAGTTATGTATCCATATTATAAATAAAAGAGCTACAGAGACATAAATTGCGAAAACCTTGATCACTGGGCAAAATGTTTTAAATATAAATATACACATCTGTGGATAAAGATTAGAAAGGCATACACATACAAAGCTAATTTTAAAGCTACAAGCATTTGGGGTAAAATTTCTTTGAATTTTTATTTTTGAAATCAATGTCTAAAGACATTTGTTAAAATCAATATACTGTATTATGTACTTTCTGAAAAGTTTATTATTTTGTGAAAATAATATGGCAGCACAGATTTAAGTAATAACCCTCAGCGATACAAAGAAATAGTAAAGTTCTGGTATGTCTTCTTCTGAGTTTCTTTCTGTTAAGTGATCAGGTTAAATAATCAGACACAGAACAGAATGACTTGGGTCAAATCACTATCACCACCCAGTTTTTAGGGGCACTGACAGGCAAGTCACCAAGGAGTGATACTTTGCTATCTCTTTAATTAGGGCGTGGCTTTTAAAACTCAGTTGTTCCATTTGCGTCTCAAATCAATCAGATGAAATTCACCTTTTACGTGGCCTGAATCCTGATAGCACAGCACACTCGATAGGTAATTTAATCGTGTCTGGCGTGGACAAACACAAACTCAAATTAGCTCCTGAAAGAGCTGGGCTTCTCAGAGATAGCTGTGCTTTTCCACTTTTATGCAAGAGCTGAGCTTCACCAACTGGCTAGCTGGAGGTGTTATTAAAAATTTAGTGAAAGAAACAAAGGTGTGCTCTGGTGTCTCTCCTTACCCTTTCTACTGTTACTCCGGCAGACAAAAGGCATAGAGCCTGCCTCATGAATAATGTGACATGGAATATTCACAATCTATTTTTAATTGAGTCAAGTAATAACCTTAAGAGAGATATTTGCAATCTTCAAATTTCACGCGGTAACAGGCGCAGTAATTTGTTTTGATTCTGAACTGTGGCTATCAAGATATTTTTCAAAAAACAACAAAACAAATGAAAACAGTTGTCAAAATTTTAACTCCTTACTTGTAGCATAAAAAAGAATAATGAAAATGGACCAGATATGCCAAATGTCATCAGGGAAGAACTAGAGTGGACAGACAGCCAGATTTCAATCAGTTCTACTTACCCCTCATTACGTGATCTTTGCTTTTTCAACCTAGGCTGGCAATAGCTGGCCAGGGTGCATGATGACTTGTAGGAAAGATGTTAGTCATCTCCACTCACCGGGAGCTTTGACTCCCAAGGCACTGTGGAGTGAGTGGTTCCTGGAAGCAGCAAGTACTTACCATCCATCAGTTTGGAAAAATGATCTTAACCTGGACTATAAATAAATTTGGAACTGGGCCCCAGAACCACAGGAGTGCTGAGCTAGCCACCCAAACCAACCATGGTAGTACACTCCCGTAATCCCAGCGCTGGGGAGGCTGAGACAGGAGGATCACTATAAGTCCGAGCTGTGTAGTGACACTCTGTATCACAAAAAAAGAAGTAAATAAATTTGAATTTTGAATGAGAGTAACTGGACATGGAAAGACAAGGTATTGGAAACCACAGGACAGCCAAGGCCTGAGATTTGGAGGGGCTGGAGAAAGGCAATATCAGAGTCCCTCTATCCCACCAACACAGAAAGTCTTTTGTGTCTTCTATCTGGGGGGACTCAAGCAATTTTTTTCATGCCTTTGTGCTCTACAAAGCAGTCAACCTGCAGGATGAAAAAGGAGTTTATTTTTGATCACTGTGTCAGGCACTCTTAGAGGGGCCGGCGATTCAGCAGTGACCGAAGCCCTGCAGGCCATTGCTCTCACTGCTCGGCCCCACCACCTAGAGCCTCGCTTGGGGCATATTGCGTCCCCAACATTCCGCTGAAATTGATTTCAGTGGGATGGATACTCTGTGGTAGTCACCATGGGCCACACATTCCCTGCAAATCTGGCTGGAAAGCGTTAGAACACAGGGAGTAGGGATTTAGGCCACGCCTGTATCCCAGTTTCATTCTCAAAAAATCCACAGGTAGAACAGAATAAGAATCTCATTTTACTTTCCACATGCATCTTAGTTTGTTTGTTTGGTGGTACAGGGGATTAGGCTTAGGGAGAACTGAGCCACATCCTCAAAGCTTTTTATTGATTTTGACACAAGGGCTTACTTGCTTGGCTGTCCAGATGAGCCTCAAACTTGGGATCCCCCTGCCCTGAGCTCCCAAGTAGCTAGGACTCATGCATCTCTAGATGTGTAGTTTGCTTTTAGTGAGCAGTTAACCAACCTCATATTTTTTTCCTTTCTCGTTTCCATAGAACCAAAGTAATCAGAGTTGCACTGGATTGATAGGACTGGATCCACATTATGTGATATCGGGGAAGTCAGAGGATTTGCCCACACTAGACCAATGGCCTGTGATAACTTTAGTTTAGGATCCTCTGGCTGCAAAAATAGAACTTGGCAGGATCTTGGTTTTTTACAACTCTTACTTTTTTGTTAGGAAAAATGTTTCTGTGAGACATAAAAGGGAAAAAAATAAAATAAAATTTTAAAAAATGGAAACAAGCTCAATTGGAGCTTTGTATGTTGCCTCGTCTGTATCACTTACCCATTCTATTTTTTTTAAATGCCAACTTCCCCCACAAGGAAAAACAAATTTCCTGCCTAAATGAAAGGCAATCCATGATAGTCTTAATACTTTATTAACTTAAACATCACTCTAATAAATATGTATTAAACAACACACTCCAGAAATCTAAAAATATGTACAAATTTAGTCAAAGTAAAAATATCATTTTCCTTTATATGGTATACATGGAAGGCTAAAGAGTTAAAGACAGAGCCTTCACCCCCCACACACACACATGCCTACCATTCAGTCATCTTAAAAATATCAGGTTAACAATAAAAACTTTGAAGTAACTCTTCAGTTACTTTCTTGTTTACACTGTATAGAGTCTAAAAGGGTTGAAAGGGCAGGTTTGAGATTCTGGATTGTCTTCTCAGAAATCTACCGGAGGACGAGAAGAGACCTCAATCATTTGAGGTACAACTGTTAGCTTTTGAGAGGCAGAGCTATGACTTTAATCTCTGGCTCCCCAGTGCCTACCAGAAGCCAAGGACCTCGGTAACAGTAATCAAAGAGTTACTAAGTGAGCGAACGACAGGCATCGTGCCCACAGGCCATCGTGTGCACACATTGTTCCATGTCAGGACCTCAGGTCCTCTCACCAAGTCCACGTTTGGGCTTCTTCCTGGGGGGCACAGGGCAGCATCTGGTGATTTTGAAAGAACAAAGCTCCTTCCCCAAATCAGTTTCTGAACCAGTCTTCAAGGAGGAGAAACAATTCCTCCGAGATTTGTATAACAGGCAGTGCCCAACAAAAGGGGATTAACAGAGTCCCAGAAGAAGAAACAAAAAAGCCCATTCCTTTTCTTCTAGATAGAAGCATTAATGTGCATCCACTTGTAAATAGTGATTGGTCCTCTTCCATCAGTTATCTGGGGATTTCGGAAGAGAGGAGACACCTGAAGGACTTTTCTGCCTGTAGAAAAGAATAGATATGGGAAGGGCTGTGGGCCAAACTTTACATCTTCACTTGACGTTAATCTTCATGTGGAGGAGTCTAAGGCCTAGCAAGTTACTGTGGCTCCCACTCTGTGCAGAACTCCAAAAGGTACTTCATTTCTTCTGGTAGCTCTAGGAAGTAGGGTGAAGGGAGAGCACCCTGGTGGGAGCTGCAGACAGGATGGGGGGCCTGAGAAGTCCGAATGGGCTGGAAGGAAGCAGAAGCTGCCTCTGTAGTGTTGCATCACTGCTGTTTGCAGCCAGCCAAGGTGCTCATTTGAGCCCATGCTGAGTCTCCCGGTGCCTCCTGAGATCCACTTTCCTCTGGAAACCCTTCCCACACAGGTCGCAGCCAAAGGGCTTGAAGCCTGTGTGCTTGCGGCTGTGCGTGATGAGGTTGGAGCTCTGGCTGAACGCCTTGCCACACACCTGGCACTTGTGAGGCTTCTCACCTGCAGGAATAGAAGGGGGGAGGGAGAAGTATGAGCCTGTGATAGACTAGAGGGCACCCACTGTGACCCACATGCTCTCGGCAGCAGCTGGCTGCACCACAATCTAAGACCTTCGAGCAAGTTGAAGGGGATGTGTTGCAACATAAACTGTCTCCCAGCCTGCAAGTCGGTCCTGGGAAAGCATGGGTGTACCAGGTGGAAGGGAGACTTTCTGAGTGGGGGTTCCCAGCTGAAGGCCTCAAACCGTTTCCTGCTAAACAGAAACAGCAAGGGCCACGTGCCCTCCCCAGCTGAATTCACCCGGGAGGACTACCCTGACTTTAGCAGCAGAGCACCCAGAACAGATGTTCAACAGGAGGTGGGAGGAGCCTGTCCTACAAACCGTGTGATTCTGTTTCTAATTCAGAGGAAGTTTTCAAATCTGAGTTTCCAAGTGGGTGCTGGTTTAGCGAGCCTGTCTTCCTTCTTGTTCTTGAAGAAGCATAGACTTATCTGAAGTACGGACATTCCTCAGACTTATTTTAAGAACCCACATTTGAACCACAAAATATTTCTTGAAGTATGCAATCTTTTTCTGCCTTGATTTTACTTGCTTTTTATGAGGTTAATTACCAGATGCTAAACAACAGCAATGCCTCAGCACAGATTAGTAACTGGCAGAATACGAAAAGGTTTTGGTTTTGCCCCATTGCTTGTGTTGCTTAACAAAAATAATATATAACAAATAGACTATAAAAACATTTTGTCGCCGGGGAGATGGCTCAGTGGAATAAGCACTTCCCTGGCAAGCACAAGGGCCTGAGTTCAATCCCCGGTTCTGCCAAAAAAAAAAAAAAACCACATTTTTGTCTTTGCCTCATTTCATCTGCTGTTTAACATTTGGGAGGATTTCCAAGTACTCTCAGTGTGGCCTTAGTAAAGTTCAGTCTTTGAGAAAAAAAGTCAAATAGATGGAAGTTTGGTTTTGAGGAAACCTCTTTCCCACGCTGCACTCTCTTCAAGCTTCAGATTTCTTGGAGAATCACCTATCAAAATGTATCCTACCCCATTAGGGTCAAATAAATCTGAGAAACAAATTCTAGCTATAATGTAAATGTCTGATAAGGATTTATTAATGTTTCATTCAGTCAAGATCCTAATTACATTTATGTGTCTTGAATACTTTTACTTATAAGAAGTGAATTACATGGAAATTTTAGACAAGAGGAATGATTGAACTAGGACTTTTTTGATTTTTGATAGGACTAGCTATATACTGAGCAAGCATTTATTAACATCAATGGTGCATGTTTGGATCATGGTGCAATTTGTTGTAAATATTCATATTATACAACAAAACTGTCAGAAATTTCAAGTCTAATGTAAATGTCTTCTTGACTATTAAATAGAAGGAGTTTTTTGTTGTTGTTGTTGTTTGGCTCTTTAGGCTGCCTTAAGGGCAGGCCTGGTACAGCTTCTGGAGCTGGGAATTGAACCGTGGTCCTATGCGCCTGCCTGTATTTACTCAAGTGGCGCTTTAAACAACTGAGCTATCTGGCAAAACCCCACTGACTATTAAATAGAGCACTCATAAAAGCAGAAGGACCACTTGATCTTGGCATTAAAACTCTCACCTGCACATAAAGTGTTACAAAAAGAGGGCAGGGTTGGAAGCCAGAACATCTAACAGCTCCACGATTTAGTCTGAGTTTTGGTAAATCATGTAAGATCAGAGTTTCCAGATGGTAAGAGCGGCTCTTTCCACTTTATGAGGTAAAGGCCAAATAAATGACAGATTTGAAAGTACTTTGTAAATTATAAAGCACTATAGTAGGTAAGGAATTATCACTATTAAGGCTTGAAATTTTGAAAAAGGCAATAAGTGAGTAGAAGCTTTCTGTATCTATAACTCCCATGACTGTGGAAGTAGAATACGATAAATAGGTCAAAAGCACAGACATTTGAGAGGTCAGACAGATCTGAATTTGAGCACTGGCCCCACTTGTTAACAGTGTGATCCTGGGTGGGCTATTTAATCCTTCTCTGCCTCATTTTCCTCATCTCTAAAATGGGGATAAGGAACAGTTTCTAACTCCCTGAGCTGTGAGCATGAGATCATCCACGTTAGCAGAAAGCTTAGTAATATTTGCTACTATTTATTCTCCTCATGTGGAATAAGCTCTCTGACTCCTCAAAGTGCTGCAGAGAGGTTACATATGAGTCTCTGCCCCCCCCCCAAAAAAAAAGATGGGTGATAGCCCTACAGAAAGTCTTCAGTCTCTAGGCAACACTAGGAGGGGATCCTGGGGCCTCCTTCATATTTGACCTAGAGCAACTGGCTGTTGGAGTGGCTACTAAACTGAAGGAAATATTCTTTCCAAGGATCGAAAACCTGCAAGCTGAGCAGCTGGTCCTACAAGCACAATCTCAAATCAAGAACCCTGGGGAGAAGCACAAATCTGTCTCTTTCTTTTAATACAGCAGTGATTAACATGATCTGAAAAGCCTCATCCACCATCTACTGCAGCCAGAAAATCAAAGAAGGTGAATTATGTTGGCCTTAGCATGTTCCTACAAGCCAAGGACCTTCAGCTTACCGGTGTGGATGAAGGTGTGTTTCTTCATGTCTGACTTCTGGTGGAACCTCTTGCCACAGTACTGACAGGGGTAAGGCCGAGTGTCTGAATGGATGAGCAGGTGTGTGGACAGTGTGGACGACCTCTTGAAGCTCTTGCCACAGATCTTACAGTCAAAGCTGCGTTCCTAGATGAGAGAGAGAGAGAGAGAGAGAGAGAGACAGAGAGAGAGAGACAGAGAGAGAGACAGAGAGAGACAGAGAGACAGAGACAGAGACACACAGAGACAGAGAGGGAGAAAGAGGCAGAGAGAGAGACAGAGACAGAGATGAGTACTCCACTGCAGTCATGAAGGCTGTCACCCTTCTCACCACAAACCTGACCCTACAATCCCCAAAACCTTGGCTCCCTTTCCACATCACCTGTAGTATTATCCCTTCTTCCCATTTATTTCCTATTTCCACACTCTTCCCCCTTTTCTTTAACATTTTTTTTCTACCAAAACACTTTTTACCCACAACACTCCACACCCCATTGCAACAGGGCTTATCTCTACCCTGAATTTTTGACACCCATTATACACACTTCATCCTCTGTGACAGAAGGCTGAGTCACTCGAGATGTCCCCACCCCTCAGCCACTGTGGGTGTTGAGGAGATAGACTGATACTCTTTTCAGTCAATAAATCTTTACAAATAAGCATTCTCACTTGATAGTCGGATGTTATTTACTCATTGCTTCTTTGTCAGCTGCACTAATCTGCATGCAAGCTTCATGGTAAGGAGTATGCTACTCGATCCTCGAATACTGAGCACTTGGGAGCAGGCAACAAGTAGCCTTAAAACAGTGAGGGAATGCATAGCAGGGCAAATGTCCTACTGAATGGACACCTCTTCAGTCAATACAGATTAAAAAAAAAAAAAAAACATTTGGTGAAAAGAATGGGTGAAGAAACAGAGCTAATCCATCTGATACAACAGTGCAAGGGTCAGTGTACACAAGTCTTCCTAAAACCCATAAGATCCCCATTGACTTGGAGGCTCACAAGGATATGAAACCAAAATCTAAGGATGCCTCAAAGGCTGAGCTGTCCACCACCCACTTTTCTCTCCACATCTATTTCAGGGCAGAGGGATGTGCAGGAGGAGACCTGGAAGCGGGAGAGTGGAGGCAGCTAGGGAGAAAACTACCAGTCCGAGGGCGACTGGTGCTGCACGGAGGCCAAGCTGAAGTCCCCAGCGCGAAAATGTGCGCGGGGCGCGGCGAGCATCCTGAGCTTACCTGCGAGTGCACGGCTTTGTGCTGCTCCAGGCTCACTGCGTGCCCGAAGGTCTTGCCGCACATCTCGCAGGCAAAGGGTCTCGTGCCGCTGTGGGACCTGCGCACGTGCACCTCGAGCCCGTGCGGCGTGGAGAACACCTGAGGCGGGTGGGGCCGGGGAGAAGGCCGCTGAGAGGGGCCGCGGGATGCGAGCGCTGGCGGGACGCGCGCCGGGGCAGCGGAGCCTCACCTTGCTGCACTTGATGCACTTGTAGGAGCTGCCGCCCAGCAGCAGGCGGGTGCACAGCAGCTCGGACTCCACCTTGACGCCCGCGCCCTTGTCCGCGTGTAGTTCGTGGCCGCGCTCAGGGAACAGTCGGCCGGAGGCGGGCGGCCGCTCGTACAGCCCGGCTGCTGCAGGCCCGAGGTCGCCGAAGAGCCCTAGGCCTGCGCCGCCGCCGTTACCTCCGGCAGCACAGCTCCCCGGGGTCCCGGCCCCAGCGCCGCCCGCAGCCCGCTCCGGGCCGTAGAGCGCGGCTGGATGGCCGGGCTCCGGGACGCGCTCGCAGAAGAGGCCCAGGCCGGCGCTGCGCTCCAGGGCCGCGCACGGCCGGTAACTCTGCACCAGGTGCCGCAGGTCGGAACCCGCCAGGCCGCTCCATGCGTAGGGCTTGAAAGGCAGGGAGAAGGGCTGGGCTTCGTCCAGAGATGGACACAGCGACTTCTCCGAGGCTGCAGAAGCACAAGAGGCCTCCCGTCAGGTTCAAGGCTGCAGGGCGGAGCCTGCCGCATGCGCTCCCGGCGCGCCGGGTGCAGGCCTAGCCGAGCGCAGGTGCCCGCGATGCCCCTCGGTAAAACCAGCCCCTGAGGCCCAGCCGGCCGACTGCAGGAAAGCAAACGGATCGGATCGTAAGAATGAAAAGATAGGTAAATGGTTTGAGGGGAGCGGAAGCGCCTGCAGTCTGAAGAATCTTTCCTGGCAGGACCCACACACCTGGGGGGCCTGTGGGGTAAAAGCGCGTCTATACAGGCTGCGAGCAAAAAGAGATGGAGAAAGCGGGGCCCTGGTTGCCAACAGCGGTTAGTGGGCAGAGGGTCCAGCCACCAGCGCCAGCACTCTCCTAGCACCTAAGTTTCCCCTCAATTCCTTTTTCCCCTAGAATTGATGGTGAAATAAGGAGATGATCAAAAAATCAGCCCCAAGAACTACTGCAGACACATTTGTCTGGAAAAAAAAAAAAAAACAACCGAAGGCCTGGGGATTTCTCCAACTTGTGAAGAGCACGGCGCAGGTAGCAAAGAAGCAGCAAGAAAGGGTCACCTAGCTCTCCTCATTTCCGCTGCATCTTGATGGGCCAAAGAAGAATTTCCCGGATAATAAGTTTACAATTAAGAAGGCTGCTTAGTTGACACTTTCAGGAGAGCTTTCTGATCCCATCCCCTTGAAGTTCTCCAAAACTAGACGTCCAATGAATCCGAGTGCATACGCAGCTACAAATCTGTTCACACGCACGAGCCTCCACACTCGTCTCTTCAGCCTGCAGCGAGAGGCTGCACCCCTCCCTAGTTTCCATCCGAGGCTGGAGGGGCATCCCATTCTGGCCTGGAGGCGCCCTGCACAACAGGAAGATCCCTCCGCCTCTGGTTTCCAGATCCACTGGCTGAAGCTGCAGTTCTGCTCATGTCAATCCCAGAGTGTGGGCTAGGATTTAAAACTAATAAGTGTAATCTGGAAATAATCGACCTTCAGCAGAACTGGGCAGATTTGCGCCTTCCTTACACCGCGAGAACCCAATCTCTTCCCCCATCCGACATGCAATGACTTGGTTTGCAGGAAACTCGGTTGCTCTCTGGAAATGAAACCCAGCGGGCTGGCCCCCAAGCTAGGCCATCTTGGCAGAACGAAAAATGAAAGGAGCCCCCAGTTTGCGGCCGTGAAGACCGCGCCGCCTGCTGAGGTTGGCTCAGGGATCTCCCTCTCCCGGGCGTTTAGGGCTCTCTGCCGGGGCTGAGTCTCCGCCTCCGTTTGCTTGAGTTTGGGATTTGGATTCTGAGATCATAACACCTTTAAAACAGTCGATTCTGATCGGAAACGAAACGCGGGGTTTTGGATTTTCTTTTTTGAGACCCCTGATTTGATTTCTCTCACGGACCAGCTCCGCACTCCCGCGCACGAAAGTCCGCAGGGTCCGGCTGCCCAGGATGGAGATTGCAGATTCGCGGCCAAGTCCATCTAGCCTCGGAGCAGCCGGATGTTTCCCGCTGAGTCCCACCCCCACGAAGAAGCCCAGTTCTCCCGGGCGAACCTCTCCGCCATCCTAGTTCCCCGCGGCCCCTGCCGCAGGACCCCCCCCCCCACACACACACACAGTCCCTACCTGGAGAGGCGGAGGGCGAAGGCGGCCTCCACAAGTCCTCGAACTCGGACCCGGGGTCGCAGACGCTACCCTCGCAGCTGTCCGGGGACGCAGAGGCTCTGTCGGGCACATCGGTCAGCTGGGATTCGGGGGACAAACGGTCCCCGGCCTCAGCTTTTGCCTCGCCTGCACTAGAAGTGCTGCCTGGGAAGAAGAATCAGGAGCTGAGCGAGGCAGAGCCGGGTGGAGCCAGAGGGTCCTGAAGTGCCCCCAACCCGGTCGTGGCACCCGAACGGCCTCCTCGGTCCTCTCGGACCTGACCAGCAGCCTTCCTGGCCCAGAGGATGGGCGCCGGGAGATGCCGGCGCCCTAGACAACAGCTCGGGAGGAGCCAGGACAGTAGGAAACAAGACAGACTAAGGGAGGGTGTCGGGGAACCCCTCCTGGTCCCCGAGAATGAAGTAGCTGGGTTTGGAGTCGCTGTCCTGAGGGGCCCCCCGACAGGCCTGCGCGCCTCGCACCTGCTCGGCCCTGCGCAGGTGCATTCTCTAAGCGCAGGGAGTAGTCCGGACCCGGGGAGCGCGGCTGGTGGTAGCTGTGAGCCTTCTTGCTCTTAACGAGGAAAGAGCGCGGCATGGTGGCCCGCCGCCTTCCCCACTGCGCTCCGACGATTCCAGAAAGTCGCGTCCCACAGCGGATACTTGCAGCGCCTGTTCAGCCTCGGCCTCGCAGAAATCTGAGAGGAAGGGAGACGAGGGTGGAAACGCTGGTGAGAGCCCTCAGGGCCAGGACGGGGCACCCAGACGCAGCGACAGAGGCAGTCAGGGAGGGGCGAAGCCGGCCGCGGGGGGAGGGGCCTGGCCCCCGGGCTGCGCTCACCAGGTGGCACTCGGACAGGTGGCCGAGCTGTCTGCCGCGCTGCCGCCGAGCCCGGCCTTTCCTCCGCCCGGCCCAAGTCCCCGGCCCCTCCCCTTCCCAGGAAAGCCCTCGGGCGCACCCTAGGAGATCAGGGGACCCCCGTGGGTCTGCTGCCTCCGCACCACTCAGTCTGGGGTTGGGGTTGGGGACTGGGTTTGGAGGAGCCAGTCGGTTAAGGGGCTGCGGACTCAGAGGGGGCCAGGAGCCCAGCCCTCCAAGAGCCGCTGCGAACGGAAGTGCAAGAGGGCTTGGGTGGGCGCGCTGAGCCTGGCCGGGGCCTGCAGCAGAGGACCAGGAGGCCCTAAAGACCGAAGAAGGGAAGCGGGAGGGCAGAGGCACAGGAAGGAGAAGGGGTGGCGGCAAAGGACAAAACCCTCGTCCGGGTGAAAAGCCGTATCCGGGTGATCTTGCTCGTGCCCGGCACAGGAAAAAGTTGGCCAGGTACGGTGGGCACCGGCCAGCGGGACGCCCATGACCAGGAGGTCTAACTGCGAAAACCAGGCCCCAGAAAAAGGACTTTCCTTTCTGCTCACCAAAAATTTTGTCCTATGAAAGGAAGTCGAGCTCGACTCGCGCGCGGTGCTAGGGGACGCGCGGTGTCCGGGCTCCGTGAAGCATCGATGGCTTGGAGGACACGCGAGACGGACGCCGGGCGCCTGCGCCGCCAGGGCCAGCGAGCGGGGGTCCCGGAGCTGGTGTCCGTGGCGTCGCTCTCATTAACCCCCAATCAGTTTGCCTAATCTCAGGTCGAAACCTGAGCTCGGCGCGGAGGCGGGGCTACGACTGCTGCCCGCTTGGGGCAGGCTCGGGGCGGACCCCGCAGCCACGGAGGTCCGGAGTAAACGAATCTGCCCCTTCTCGGCCGAGGACTTGGGGCTCGGGTTCCCCCACGAGCTACAGCCTCTCCGGGCACAGCAGGTTTTCTGAACGAAGCAAGGCCCCGGGTCCTCTGGTTTTGCGCGGTTTGAATTGCGGGACGCGGAGCCTTTCGCCCCCAGGGCAAGATGCGGGGCGCAGTTTAAAAGTGTCCGCTTGTGGTTCCAACCGAAGCCAGCCCTTGGGGACTCGGCGTCCGGAGGGCGCACCCCCCCCCCCCAAAAGCCTCAGTCCTGCGAGCCTTCTTCCCAGCTGCGAAGAATGCGGCTGGGAGAGGAGATGCCTGGATGCGTCACTGGGTGTCCACAGGCGTTTCCAAATAACTAGGTGTCAGAACGTCCCCGGGCCGAGGGGAGCGCCCGCCTGCACCTAGGTTGGCTCCGGACAGGACGTTATGCTTCAGTGTTTCCTGCACCCTCGGTCCGTACAATTGGACCCACAAATGCAAATACCCGTAAAACCATGAAACTTGGAAGAAAAGGAGAGTAGGTGAAGCCAATCCCGGGGCAGCCTCTGGCTTGGTCCCTCGCGGGGCAGAAGCAGGACTAGTGGGGAGCGGAGAGCTGTGGGTGCAGGGTAGTGGGGACCGCGCGTGACAAGGTAGCCACGGGGCAGCCTCCTCACCCAGGCGACAAACCCACGCCTCTCTCGCACCCTGGCGGGCTTTGCTGGTTCCGGGGGTGGGGGGAAGTGGCGGGGGGTAGGAGGTAGGCCAGGGGCCGAGCGCGTGGGAAGGCGACCTCGCGCTGCAGCTGGCGGCAGGGGCGGGGCGGCGCCACCTTGCACGCGGCCCTCGGGCCCTGTCCTCGGGGTCTGGGCGCTACAAAGTGGGAGCCGAACGCTCGGGGGAGGGGACAGCCTCCACCGCACCGCTGCCCTCGCCTTCCCACCAGATGCTTCCTTTCCGGGAGGACCCCATTCCCCAGCAGAACCCCCAAACTCCTGGCGTGCGCCCTATTCCTGTTTCCCAGCCCCGTCCCTGACTCGCGTCCGAGCTGGGCAGTGGGCACTGTGGCGGAGCGCGGCGGTGGGCACCCGGTGGGGCCGGACCGCGCAGTCCCGCGGTGGGCGGCACGAAGTGTCTCCGCGCCTACCTGCCGGGTCAGCGCGCGGGCACCGCGCTCCGAGTTCAAGCGGATTCTTGCTTTCGGGAGAGAATGCTCCCTCTCTCTGACTTTTTAAAAATCTCCTTCTGAGCTCAGCCCCCAAACCACAAGCTCCACTTCCTGAGCGTTACGGAGCAGCTCGCGGCTCTCAGACCTCCCCCGCCCCGGTGGGGCGGCCGGCTGGAGGCCAGGGCCGGGCTTTGCAGCCGTCACCTGCCACTCGGCCTCTCTACCGCTTTCGTCTCCGTGGGATTGCTAGATAGGGGAGACCCCAGAGGTCTGCACTCGCAGGCACCAGAAATGACTCGAAAGAAAATTGAACTACTCTTGGCTGCTGGGAGACTTCCGCAGCGAGAAGTCACAGATTCAGGACCCAGACTGACTGGAGTGCAGAGGAGGAGCGCTCAGCTCCGCGGTCCGCTAGCGAGCCACCCCGCCCCCAGCCCCACCGCCTGCTCGGGTTGCGGTCCCCGGACCGAGCGGTGAATCACCGGCCCCGGTGCCGCCGGCCTGGAGCCCGGCGAGTGGCCTCGGCGTCCGCAGAGCGAAACCTGCCCCGTGGCCCCGAAATAGCTTGTTGTGGAAACACTTCGGGATAAATACGCCCAACGAGGCTGAAAATACCTTGACACCCAATCCGAGAGGTTTGCTCATTTCCCTTTGGATTTAGGTAATGGTTAAATTTGGAAGAGGTGGGCGAGCGCCGAGCCCCCGGCGGAGAGGGCCCAGGCGGCGCGTCCCGCGGGCGCCCGGCGGGACCGGTGGGCGCGCCCGGCCGGCGTGGAGCTCCCCCGGCTGCGCCTGGCCACTCGGCCGCGCGCTGACTTCCGGTGGTCGGAGCTGCAAAATTAGAGGGCGCGCGGGAGGGAGTGCGCGGGGGCCGGGAGGAGCGCTGCTCGCCGACCGACCCCGCCCTGCCCGGCCCCGGCCCCGGCCCCCACCCGGGAGAGGACCCGCCGCGCCGCTGGGTACAGCCTGGAGGCCGACCTGCTCTGGGTTTGGGGGGCAGTCGTCAAGCTCCAGACTGCAGAGCTCTGGTGCTTAATGAAAAGTAAACCTTTGCTCGGCTTGTATGTTTCCTGAGGGCAAACACTGATCTTCATGATCATGTCCCCGGCTGTAGGCTCTTAACAAGTATCTGTGGACTAAGTGTGAATACGTAGAATTAATCTATTAATAGACAGGAAAAATCCCTCCAAATCTCATCTTTAAACAATGCAGCAACCTCCAACTGGACTGTATGTCATGATACATAGTGTATAACTTGTAATGTATACTTAAAGGCTACAGATTTGATTTATGTGATAGGGAGATTATCTTTGTAATCGCACGTGTACTTTTCTAGTATAGGTGTTGCCGAGGGAGCACAATTACGATAGTTTTCTAAGTGAATTGGATTTTAATCACTATTTCGTGTGCAGTGGTTCTCCAGTGTCAGACCTTAGAAGAGGGTGGTCGCTCTTAGTTCTTGCAAAACGACTACCATATTTTAAAAATTTTGCTTTCTTTTATTGGTGGTCGGGGTTGAACCCGAGGCTTGTGAACTAGCTAAAGCACCAGCTGTACTCCTGAGCTACATACACTCCCAGTCCCAACTACCATATTAATTCAAAATTGTCACTAGAAAAACAATTCTTAAAGTTCTTTCCCGATAAAATGTCATCAGATAATGATTTTACACTGTACATTTTTAATTTTGTAGGAAATATTTGGTTAACACAGCAATGGTTCAAGTATGTTTTAATAAATCAAAACCTTGTATTCACAGCTTAGTTGTCTGCCTCGCTATGCTCTTTATACACAAATGCAGAGGTTAACCAAAGAGAAGTTAAACCTTGTATTGATATTTTATTTCTTATGTGTTTTGTCCTGGCTGAAGATATAGATATAGATATAGATATAGATATAGATATGACAAAATAGTTGCTTATTAGCCAAGTTATGGAGAAAAGACAGGACCAAAGGCAACTTTCTTGACTCAGGGTTCTGTGTGATGTCTCAGAAAACCTGGGACAGGTAATGGAGGGCACAAATCAGCACCTTGGAGCTGTAGCACCATAGACTAAATCCCTTTCGTTTTGATTAAATCAAGTAGTTTTGCTTTCCATTTGCCTTTAACAGTCTCTTGGGATTTCTGAGCTTACAAAATAAAACTGGGAACTGGGAACTGGGAACTGGGAGAGGGATATTCAGGGAGGAGCAGGTGGGAGGCAGGTGGTGTTGATCCCCCTTTATATCTTTCACATTGAGCTGTGTAGCTGTGTGACTGATTAAATAAATAAATACGTATTAAAATATTTAACTGCTAAGATCAGGACGCTGCTTAGGTGTATAATGCTGGATCAAGAGTCTCCCACACTTGGGGGAGCACAGGAGAAAGCAGAAGGGGACCCAGCGAGGCTAAGAAGCTTGGTGACTGGAAGGACTGGTACACGGAGCCTACCTGACTTCTCACTGCTTCAGTTACTGCTTGCTTAGTAGTAAAAGGACAGTGAGGGTGACATGACAGCCTGCTTTGCACATCTTGTACAGCTAGAAAGAATGCCCCTCAACATTCGTATGGGACTGAAGTAGATCTAATAACAGTACACGCAGGACATAATTTTCCATAAATTAGGGCTTTCTTCCCCCCAAAAATGATGTCTAATTTGCTAATTGTTTCTAAGCAATACTAACAATGCATTTGTAGATGCTTAGTAGCAAATGACTTTCTTAGTCCTATTGCAGCCATTTCCAGGCTCTGCCCAGTCACCTGTTTATTTCAACCAGCGCCTCCTAGAGCAGCTTTTCCCTGCAACAAAAAGATCTGAGACATTTTTAAAAAGAATATTATAACACTATTACTAGTCAGTTGTTTGTCATGAAAATGTATAGTTCTGGTTGCTGTTCTGTGGGCTTGGGGAAGAGAGGATGATTCTGAAAGCACAGCAGGGAGCGATGCTCACATTCTCGGCATTCATTTCTGGAATGCTCACTGATTGTCACAGTAGTGCTATGAGGGGGAAGAGTTCAGGTCCTTTGAAGCC